AATATTAAAATAAAATATTAAAATATTAATAGTTTTATATTTATACTTACTTCTTATTCATATATGGAATTAACAAAGAAATTGAATAAAGAATTGTTCAATTTATCTATTCTTCAGCTTTAAATCTTTTAAAATATTTAACATTCATTGGTGGTCGACCAAATTCTGATGATATATTTTGTATATTATTAGACATATGTCTTCCTATTTTTTTTAAAATATTAGCTTTTAAAAAAGTATATATTATTAATGTTTAATTCTGTTTTTGTTACTAGAAAAAACTGTCCACACCAATGCTGATACATTGCAGGCATTATTCCTTCAAAGAATAAATGCATTATATCTGTAGGAAATGATTGTAGAAATTGTATTGTATTAAGTTCAAATAAAATACATAAGCCTTTAATCCCTAATTATATTAAATAAATATTTAATTAAATTTAATTAAACAAATTTTATATTATTTAAGATTATAAAATTATCTCACAAGTTTATTTGTCTATTTTTATTAGATTCAAACTGCAATTGTTCAATTGTTGTAACATCTTTATTATATTCTTCATGTGATTGCATTGGAAGATTAACAAGATCATGAGATAAAGATTGTAAATTAGAATTTAATAAATAGTAAATGTGATTATTATATATGTCACAAATATTACAGAATCAGCAAGCTATATAAGAATTATGATCTGTTAAATTTAAAACTTTTGTAATTGCTAGAATATTACCAGTCTACATAATAGTATGTGCTCATAGTATAAACTTCCTATCTTTATAATCAATTATTTCAACACCATCTATTAATATAATAGAATTAATTAGTAATTTGATTTTAAAAAATACTAATTAAATAAATATATATGCTCTAATAATTTGAGTTCATCAACTAATGGTTGAAGAAATGTATCCATTTTTTTTGGACTATTTGGTCTGAGAATTATTCCAACAATAAGCAAATTTTCTTTTTTTATATGTTCATTAGAAGGTAAGTTTGCATTAATGTATAAAAAAACCCAACAATTATTTCGTTTTTGCTGAAATATTTAGTAACCATCAGTAGATCCAATAAGGCATATATTATATGGATTAGAAAAAAATCCCTCTTGGCAAAGATCTTTATATAAAAGACCATCAAAGATATCATTATAATATTTTTTATTAGATTGGTATGTAGATCTATATAGAATCTTCTCAACATAATTTTGATCTTTGAATTGAATTTTAAAATGATCATTAAGAGAAAAATATGTAGCTTTTTTGTAAGCTTTCTGTTTAAATGAGTCTTGATTAATATAATGTGGTTTATTGCATACAGGACAATTTAAATGTTGTTCATATTGTTTAGTAAATGCACAACATGAATCTATATACATGTCAATAAATATTGCTTTTAAAAGAACTTTTTTTGCTAAAAATTTTTTGCTAAATATAATGTTATATTTTCACAATTAAAAATTTCTAATATTTCTTGATATGTTTAATTTGTTAAAGTTCCTTTTTAAGCTTTAAGTTCAAGTAATTTAAGAGCTTTCTTCATTGAATCATTTAATTTTTCTGATTTTGATTCTATATTATTTAATAATAAGTATAATAATAATTAATTAAATATCAATATTTAAATATTACTAACCAGAATTATTTGAAAAATATTTGATATCAGATGATAATATATCAGATTCATTATTGAAATTTGATTGCATATTTTCAAAAATATTATTTGTATTAAAATCATCTTCAGGTCCCTTATCTATATTAAACTCATCAGATTTATCTTCAGGTTTATCTTCAGATTCATCTTTATGTTCATCTTCAAGTTCATTTTCAGGTTTATCTTCAAATTCATTTTTAGGTTCATCTTTAGGTTCATTTTCAGGTTTATCTTTAGACTCATCTTCAGGTTCATTATCTATATTAAAATCTTCTTCAAAATAATTTAAATTACTAAAAAAAAAAAAATTAATTAATTTAAAAAATAATTTAAATAAATAATTTAATAAGAATGAATTAGTTTCATACTTATTGTTTTTATCATTATTTAATAATAATGGATTAATATATTTATTGATTTTTGTATTAATCCATTTAAAATATTGCTGACATTGTAAATAAGAATTATACATTACTTTTTGGATCCAACAGCCATCTTTGCATTTTTTTAAACAATAATTGCATTTACACAAAGATTTTTGTTTATGTTTAGAAGACATTTTAATAGTCAATTAATTGAAAAAAATAAAAGATCACATTTATATCTGCATTTTTTTATAATTATGCAATATTAGTATTATATCATTTGCATAAAATATATAATCAATAAAGTTAAAGGCATGGCCTCACTGTTAATATTTAAAAAAAAAATAAAATATATAATATATATATTGTATCTAAAATAATAATTTATCTAAAGTATCTACTTTATATATCTAAAGTAGTGCACTGGCTAAAATTATAACTTAATACATACAAGATCCAATTTCAGGGGCTTAATTTTAGCCAGAAGCTATTTAGATAGATCGCTACTTTAGATGCAACATATATACATATTTGTAAACATGATTATTAACAATTTTAAAATTTGAGTTATATTATAGCAAAAATATTACAAAGTTACAAATTATGAATATGTAATACAAAAATAATATTGAAAGTGTATTAATTACTAAAAATTTGTAAAAAATATTTGGTTATTAAATAAAAATATATTAAAAATAAAATTTTTAATAATTATCTTTTAATATATTTAATAAACTCAATCCATTCTTCTTTGCGAAAATTCTCCAACTATGTAATTGTAATATCATCTATTAAATTCAATGTTGTCCAATTGTTATTAAGTGTTTCTAATAACTCAACTAACTATGATCTAGAAGTTGTAAATGTTTGAAGTTTTCTAGCTAATATATTTCCAAAAAATCTAGGCATTTGAATTGTTACTTAATCAGATTCAATTGTTTTTTTATTTGTTTTATCAATAATTTGTTGAACTTATAAATTAGATTCTTTTTGATCAATATTTAATAAATGATAAATTGAAATTCTTTTTAAAAGAAGAGCATTAACTTGAGATATTACTTTCACTCCTTTTTGTCTAATTGCAAACTTTATTATCCATTGTTTTAAGTAATTATAAGCTTGTTCAAATTCATAAAGAGTTCTTAAAGACACTCTTCTAGATAACTCTGGTGCATAAGATGTAATGTCAACATTATTAATAGTTTTATAACATGTGCTTATGAGCTTATTAAAAGTGTTTATTTGTTGTTCAATTTGTTGTAAAGATGTTTACTTATCTAAATTTTGGTTATCAAAAATGGCAAAAGATAAGTGTGATACTTTTTGTAATAATATAATTTGCTTTCTGATATTATTAGTTTCAATTCCTAATAGAGCTTCTTGAGTATTACTGCATTTTTCTAAATATGAATCTAAATCAAGTGCTCCTTTAATTGATGAAAAACAAAATTGAGTTAGAATTGTGATAGAATTTTGCTGTACTATAATTTTTAAGATTTCTAAAATGTTTTTATAGTATATAGACTTTGATACACCTGAATTTGTGTCATAAAAAGGAGTTACAACAGGAAGGTCTGCTTCTAATAATCGAAACTTATAATATAACTTTGCAACTTTCAATTTATTTTCTCTTAAAATCTGATTTTCAAATATTTAATAATCCATCAAAAAACCTAACAGACTTACTGGACCAATTATAGTATCTTCTAAATCCACAGGTATAAATTTTGGAAATTGAATTTTATTTGCTAATCTATTGATGTAAGTATAATTAATTGGTTCCAATGTAACACTTCATGTTTGATTTTTTAACACTGCCTTATGTTTTTTGAGATAAATTTCGATTTTTGTAATATTTGAATCATAAGAAATTGAACTTAATATTAAGCAAGTACTAACAATATTAGAGTAAATTTCTTGATTTTCATCTGTCTTTAAATGCTAACTTTTGGTTACTTTAGATGTAGATATTAATAGACCTAAATATAAAAAATATTTAACAAAAAATAAAATAACATGTTTTTTAATAATAGCTATTAGTTTATTACCTTTATTATATCTATCATCTGCATATTCATATTCATTATCTTTATTATATTCATCATCCCAAATATTCCAAATATCTTCCTCTTTGTTCACATTTTTTATTTAGGATTATATTAGTAATTTATTAAACAGATTAAAATATTTTTATTTATAAATTTTTATATCTTTATTTGAGATACTTTCAGATGAAAATACATAAAGTTCTTCATATTTAACTTGATAAATGCTATTATATTTATAGAGATTTTGGCTTACTTCTAGATGATATTTATTCAACATGAAACTTCACTTACAAAAGTCAGATCTTCTTCAGCCCCCAATTTTTGATAGCAAAACTGTTTTTGACTGTTATCTGTATATATTATTTCAATTTTATTTGCTAAAACTAGACATATTTAATATAGTTGCTCATATTAAATAATCTTGCCAAGTACAATGAATGCATTAAATTGTTGATAATGAATTCTAAAAAAAAAAATTACAAAATTAATAAAATTAATAAAATTAATATAAAAGATAATTAACATAATGTGATACTCGAGTTTTGTAATAAATAAGAAGATTAAAATAGAAATAAATAAACCAAAAAATAGAAATTTAAAATAGAAA